GCTTCGCCGAAGGGGATGAAATGGAAGCGCCGGGACGGGGCGCGCGGCGGGCGTAGTCGCGGGAATGATTTGCCGGGGGTGTAAGCTCGGACGGGGTGCGCGGAACGGCGAGGGGCTGCTATCGCGGAGAGGGGGAAAGGGTGGAGGGAGATTCGAGGCGAGTCGGTGTCGAGCGAGACGAGCCACGGGCCAGTTCCGTCTCGAGTCCAGGAGTAGAAGAGCTACTGGCCGCTTGTCTGCTCCCTTCTTTCGCTATAGTTTCATTTCTTTCCGTTTTAGTTCATTCTTCAGTTCCGATTGATTGACGTATCGTACACCGGAGGATACACACACATACATATATACATATATACATATGTATATATATACTCACCCGCGAGCACATCACTGAACACGTACACACACGCAGATACACGTACACAGAAACACGCGAACACACATACACGAAAGAAAGCTGAAACACACCTGTACACATACGTACGCATACACACACGTATTCGTGACGGATGTACGATTAACGCATAGCAAATTAACGCGCGCGCGCGCGAGAGACAGAGAGACAGACGTGCACACGCGTTGCCGCGTATCGTTCTCTCGAGAGGAGACGAAACCACGCACACACATACGCCAACACACCTGTACAAGTACGGACAGTTCGACGCGCGGCCACGCTCGTTTTTTCCCCCCGATTCTACGAGATACACCGCGAACGGAAGTGTGAACGCGCGCCGGTCGTATTGGTACGGTACGCGGATCGAGCCGATTGGTCGTCTCGTTCTCTGGTGATACAAGCGTTTCGCGTCGACGAACACGATACGTGGACCTGATATTTTCAGTATATATATATGTATATATATACGTTTGTATATTGATATACGTGTATTGTACGTGTACACACACACACACACTCATCCACACTCATACAGAAACAAACACACACATATACATACACATACATATATCGCCGGTCCCGGTTCTGTTGTTGTCGGTACGGGCCGATGCACGGACACACCCGCGGCCATCAAGCGTATCTGTAGATCAGTACCCGGCCGGGCTGGTGTGTAAAACCCGCGTAGTACCTGCGTTCTCTGTCCATCCGATGCGCGTGCAACAAGCCCGCGGCTCCATTCACTTTTAGGAAACGTAATTCTCGCATTCAGGTACGTGGACCATCTCTCTCTCTCTCTTTTTCTTTCTCTCTCTTTCTCTCTTTCTCTACCCCCTTAACCCCTTGCCGAGCGATTTCGTTCACGGTTCCGATCGTCCGCTTTGTTTCGCGGATGATAGGATCTTGCTTATTTGAATTCTCGATTATCCGAACTAACATCGTTGTTTATTCATTTTACCGTTCTACTGTTCGGACTGTGTAGTCGGTTGTTTGAGTAAATATCGGTTCCAGTCTCGCGAGCGTAGAGTCTTGGGTATTCATGGTCATCACTCTTGGTTATCCGAACTAACATCGTTGTTTATTCATTTTACCGTTCTACTGTTCGGATTGTGTAGTCGGTTGTTTGAGTAAATATCGGTCCCAGTTTCGCGAGCGTAGAGTCTTGGGTATTCGTGGTTATTACTCTTGTTTATCTAAATTCGTTGTTTTTCTTTTGCTAATTTGTTTGGACGGTAGGTGACCGTTTGATGACAGTTGTACCGTTTGAGATCGTTTGAATCGTCTTGGTCCCAGTTAGCTTTCTGATAACGGATTTCTGGTAGATCGGGCGAGAATCTACGTGATTCGGCAAGGGGTTAATTCTGTGCCAAAACGTCGATCCACTGTGTTCTCGTTCAACGAGGGTATAGAATAACGTGAAAAAGCATCGGTATATTAATAAGTAATGCGGCTGCGATCAACAAAGGAACACGAGTGCACGATGAAACGACGAGCAATCATCGTCCGTGGATGCGGAAGCTGTTTCAGTGATATTTAACGTTGGGAAAACGGTTCGAGTTCGAGTTGTCAGTGGGAACACTGTGGATTACGGGTTGGCACGAGCAGCGTTAGCCGCGGAGATGATTTCTACGCTCGGAATCACCCTCGAACGAGATCATCGATTCATCTTCCGGCATTTTCTCCCTTTGTCTCTTTAACCCTTTGCACTCGAAAGTTCTCCACTGGAAACATTTCACATTCTTCGATGGGATAGACGACATCGTTTGGAACTAATTTAATGATAACAGATTAATTAAGCGACAAAGCTATCTAATTTACATATTCCCTGTAACAATACAAAGTTTAATTTAAAATACTAAATACTCAACATTCCAATATTCCAACATTAAATATCAGATTTTATAGTTTTGCTGCATCAAATCAAGTGCTGACTGAGAGTCACCTCTCGAGTGCAAAGGGTTAACACTCTTTTCCTATTTCTACATAATTAATTTATTATGTATTACATAGAATGTCTTATTTCTCACTCTTTTTAATTTCTATTCCATCGTGTCCATTGAAGACCGAGAACATTCGTAGCTGCACACCGCGAAAAGAATGTATCTCTTCGAACGCGCGGTTTCCCAGAGAAAATGCATTTTCAAAATGAATCTCCTTGGCAGGCGGATGAGTACTGGTTCTCGTTCGAGGTGCCTGTGTCGCGGCTGCTAGAAATGATCGTGCATGTGTCTTGTACCTACTTCGCGTTTTAATTTCGTCCGCTCCGCGAAAGTGTCTCTCGATGCAGCCCTTAAATCCGGGCGACCCGGTTTCGTTTTCCTTCTGCGTATGCTTTCATTTCTATTAATTTCCAGAGGATTCGGAATATTTACGAAAAATATTCCAACGATATCACGGACGATTTGGATTAATCTGTGATCGATTAAGGGGGTTCTACGAATATACAATATCTTTCGTATGAGTCTTTCGAGATGTTGGTAGAGTCTATTGTCTTCTAACACGTTGAGTGCCGCGTAATTTCATAAAGAAAAATACTCGAAATGGAAAATGTATAATATTAAATCAATTGATTGAATTGCATTGTTATTATTGCAAGTTCATCTGGCTGAATGAATAGAAATGTTTTTAAATAATCATCTTTTAATTGAGTGAACTATCGTAATTCGATTTGATTGGGGGTCACCGGTGACCCCCATGGCAGTCAACCTGTTAAGAACAGGTTTCTCGAAACGTGCAGTTATATTATTGGTTCAACTCTTTGCACTCTGTAGGCTCTACGGCACCACTTAATTATTAAACAGTTCGATCAAGAGTGAAAAAACTACCCTATGATTATTGCATTTGCTGCACACAAATCTTTTCCTAAGAACAAACAGAAAATCTACGAGATGATATAATATATTTTCACATTCATCACGAGGACTAAAAATGTGTAGGAGTTGCTAGTAGATTGGAAAATCAGGTGGAGTGGGTTAAATTAAATCATTTCATAATTAAGGAAATTTAAGGATAGGATTCAGTTTAAAATGGAAGTGTATAAAATTGTACAAGTTCTTTCAATCATTCTTTGAATTTATTGTTAGTTCGTATCAGGACGAAGGATTGAATCGATACATTTATCGTCTTCTCCTTTTTCGCCAAAGAAAAGTCAATTATTTCTGCACGCAAGAAAAATTGTGCTAACAGCGTTGGAGGGTCCATTGAAATCTCTCGTAGCGGGTAATGTTTTCCAGCGAGTTCTCTTCGCGTGACAGTCCTCGCCAGGGAAAATTCCGTCGTTCGTCGCCTTGGTCACGCGACCGGTCCCATAGTATTTTAAATTAATTACGTTCGCGGGAACTCCTCCATTCAGCTCGACGTCAGGCCTCAGTGGAACTGAAGGAATTGAGTGCCACAAATTGCTTGAACTCCATTAGAGAACTCCTCTCTCGTTATGGTCTACTTTCCCGTTTTCATTGCATAACCTTTGAATATTTCTTAACTGGTAGTCGACATCAGGAAAATTCATGCTTTTATTAGTTGGAAATTTTAACGTTTGTACGTTTGAAAGATCGAAGCTTCGAAAATTTGAAAATTTGAATGTTTAAGTATTGAAACATTTGGGAGATTGAAGCTTTGGAAATTTGAACGTTTAAACGTTTGAAAGATGGATGTTTCGAAAACTTGGAAGCTTGAATGTTTAAACGTTTAAGCATTTGAAAGATTGAAGCTTAGAAAATTTGAAGTTTAAATGTTTGAAAGATCGAAGCTTTAAAAATTTGAAATTTAGACGTTTGAAAGACCGAAGCTTCCAAAACTTGAAAACTTGAATGTTCAAACGTTTCAGCATTTGAAGGATCGAAGCTTTGAAAACTGGAACGTTTAAACGTTTGAATGATCGAAGCTTTGAACATTCCAACGTTTAAGCATTTGAAAGATTGAAGCTTAGAAAATTTGAAATTTAAACGTTTCAAAGATCGAAGCTTTTAACATTTGAACGTTTAAGCATTTGAAAGATCGACTCTTCGAAAACTTGAAAACTTGAATGTTCAAACGTTTAAGCATTTGAAGGATCGAAGCTTCGAAAACTTGAAAACTTGAATGTTCAAACGTTTAAGCATTTGAAGGATCGAAGCTTTGAAAATTGGAACGTTTAAACGTTTGAAGGATCGAAGCTTAGAAAATGAGAAATTTAAACGTTTGAAAGACCAAAGCTTCAAACATTCGAAACCTTGAACATTTGAAATACCCAAACATTCTAAACCAGAAATCCAAAAATCTATCAGTCAATCGCACAAATATCTCCAGAAGAGATAAAAATGAAAATCTCCCTCCTCTCTCCCATCCTGAAACATTCCGAACTCCTTTTCCAGTTGACCCTCGTGAACGTTTTACCTGTCGATCTTTGGACCCGTTAGGACACCTCCCGTTCTCGACCGATCGCTATCTCTTGGTCTTGGCGGGCTTGCGAGCGACCTTTGCCCTGTTCTTGCTGGTAGCCAGCTCCAAACCGCCCCTCGTCAGCTGATTGAAATCGATAATGGTGAGCCTCGGCTCGACGGGACGTCTCGACAGCGGCTGTACCCTGACGAGCGGTGCCCCGGGGCTCCGGAACCTGTAGCTCCGGTTCCTGCACCCGCCGACGCCCGTTCCACTTCCACTTCCGGTCCCAAGCTGGCTCATCCGCGTGCCGCTCATCGATCGGTAACCGCCGCTCGCCGGCGGCTCGGCCGCCTCCTCTTGGAAGTATCTGCCGCGAACCAGACCCGCGAATTAACACGTTAAGCGCCATGTCAGCCACTGCTGACTGACGCTTCTGAATGACTAAAAAACGATCGTAACGTACAAGACGACCTATGTGAAATAAAAATGTTTAATAAGACAACTAGTTGATAATAGTGTAACGCAAACGTTGCAACGCCGAACAGTTCGTAATTATTCCTACTTTTCTTCGCTACGAAAGACAAACTCTATGGGGAAACGCTTAAGATTTTCGTGTCGCTTAACGTGTTAAATGTCTGTTAAGTCGCCGGCGCTGAATGCGTTGAAAAATGAAGTTGTAACCAATCGAGAAAACACGTTGAAATTGCAGGTTCGAGTGAGGGTCCTCGACAAGTTTAATAAGGCAACTAAGTTGATAATAGTGCTAGTCAAACGCTAGATTTACGGAATCCTTTGATATTAACCCTTCCACGGGCAGCGCCGACTGCAATCGGCGCCCGCTTATCGAGCTACCGATACCAGCGCCGTCTGTGGTCGGTATCCGGATAATACCATTCGACTTTTTCCATTATTTGCATTAGAACTACCAGATGGGTGGAAATGACCCATTTCTGTTGATGTTTCCTTTTGCGATTATTGAACAGGTACGAATATCTCTTTGAGCAGTTACTAAAGAAGCTGATCAACCCTTCGCAATCGGGAGATGACACAGTCATCACTCGATTTGACGCAGTAATACTATAACATTTGATATTTAATATTATACCTCGTATAATGCATCAATTTGAGAAATATTCAAATGAAGTAGCTTTGTTCCTTAATATACTTGCGATTTCCTTTCGAGTTAAGAAATGTTAAATATTTCTAGTGAGAAACTTCCGGATGCAGAGGGTTAAGTAACGCCTGAGCTGAAATTTAAATCGAATCGAATCTTAATAAATCCACCTTTGTAGCTTTTGTAAAGAAATTCTGAAGAGTCAATTTAGGAGCTCGGTAGTTTTAGTTTAATTGAGAGAAATACTTGTTCGTTACTATGGGAAGACTAGCAGAGTACATCGGCAGAAATGATCGCGGGGAATCTCCCAATTCAATAATCATTGAAAATTTCAAAAAAATTTCGGAGTCGATCTTTAGATCAACGATTCCGCGAAGATCGAACGAAACGATCGTGAACCGCGCGATTATTCCGATCAAGCCGGGTCTAATCTGCGCAGAAGATTTTCCAGTTTTATTGATAGCGCGTCCGCCTGTCATTGTCCCGCGAGGAGCCAGTCGGGAAATAGGCTAGGGGAAAGAGACAAGTACTGGCCAGACAATGAAACACTCTAGCATTCTCTGGTAACGTGTAACGAGGGTGAGTCTCGCGTTTCCGTTCCCGGAATGCGAAATGGGACAGAAAGGTGTCCGACCCTCGGCTAGGAGTGCCGCGCGACGTAAGACAGTAACGTTCTGCCTTCGGATTCTCCGCGAGCCGATCGAAAATCCCGGAATTACGTGGAACTAGTGATTGAATATTAACCCTTTGAACTCTGTAGGCTCCGATATTGCACCAGGAATAATACTAAATATTTTAATGAATCTTAAAGGAACTACCCTAAAATCATTCGATTTTCCGCGCATCCAAATTGTGCACTAAGAAGGGAAATAAATGATTGAAGAAATGTTGCATTTCTCATTTTCGCTAGGAATACTATAAAAATTAGTTGCAATTGTTGATAGATTACTAGATTAGTTAATATTCAATTACAAGGTTTATTAACTGCTTATTAACTGCTTCTTACGCATATCAACCCTTTGCGGTCGATTGTCGACATTTCGGCAGACCAAACTTCCATATTTGGAATACTAAGTCGGTGACAAATGATTTAGTTACTTGAACAGCAAGAGATGAACGCGAGGTTTCCAGTTTCTCTATCGTTTAAGGAAACAGTATACAATTTAGCTTCATCTACTTTTACATATTTCAAATTTTGCACTAAGAAGGAAGATAAAAGATCGAAGAAATATTGCATTTCTCATTTTCGTTAGGGATACTATAAAAACTAGTTGCAGTTGCTGATAGATTACAGAACCATCTGGAGTGCTAAGGGTTAAATTCTTCCGTTTCAGTTCAGAGACTGAATCGCGTTTTTTTATTTTCACATGGAGAAACATGCTAATTAATGGGATCGTTCTATTCTTCTATTTCTAAGTAGAGAAGATGCAAATGAATTAAAAGGAAAAGAAGATAAATTCAGTAGCATTTTACATTTCGAAATACTCAAATGGTGAATCCGATGAAACAGGCTTCAAGGATAGCAACAAAATGTTATACGTTACTCGTGAATGCTGGCAAGGTGCACAGGAGCCGGCGTCCTGGAGGTCCTCGGTCTAGGCTCCCTAGGGACCCGGTGTCTCGGTCGAGATTGCCGCGATTTCTTGCTGGACGGTTGGTCCGGAAGACCAGCCGGGATTAGGCCCATCAGCTTGTAGTACTCCAAGAAGACGCGAGCCAAATTTCGACCTATTCTGTAATCTGTCGTTCTTGTCTAGTTAAGATCCTCCTAGATCCTTGCGAGATTTTACGATTGGAATCGAAGTTTAAAACGATTGTTCCTAACACCTCGCGATCCGTTGACGCCTCTGAGTTGCCAATTGATCGGACGCAGCGAACTTATAAAGTTTGGTATTATTAAATATCGAAAGAAATTAGTTTCGTTCCTCAGCTTTTATGCAATTTCTTGTCAAGTTCGAAAGGATGTATCTCATTAGAAAATGTTGAGTTTAAATTTTATTCTATTACATTTAGTTAATTCCCTGAATTCTTTCACAATTCAGAAAATAATAGATCCTTCTCTGAGAAATTTCGATAGAAATAGATAGACGCACTGTTAGAGTTCCTACAAACGAGTATACACGTCATCGTGAAGCTTGACACGATACTAATTCCTTCATGAATTCTTTATTCCTTCACGTAAACATGTAACTCTTCTTTGTTTCGCTTTGATCTTTCATTAAAATATACTCCACGTGCATTCGTCATTCGACGAGTACACGCTCCATTTTTCGATTTAATCGCGCGTAGAACGAGAGGTTTTTCCAACTAAATTCCTCAGGTAACTGATTAAGTAACACGAAGATGTCTGGACTTTAACCCTTTGCGGACGAAGATTGTTGAAAGTATACAAAACCTTTAGCAAATTCTGCTGAATTAAACACTGAATGCTTAAACCATAGAGAATAAGGGAACTGCGTACTGATTTCTTGCTGTTCGAATAGTGAAAACACTTGTTCACAACTGGGTATTCCAAACATGGAAGTTCGATCTCAGCAAAACGCCGACATTCGTCCGCGAAGGGTTAACTTTTATAGTCATTTTCCCTCGTGGGTTGATCGTCTGTCGTACGCGATACGAGAAGGATACAGCTTTCCTCGGTATACGGGAATATCCCGGGCGTGGTCTTCCTGTTGTACCCGTACATGGACACCTCGATGCTGTAGCAGTTGACGTGCTCCCTCAGCATCGAGCAGAGATAACGCCGCGCCGTGCCAGACTTGTGGGAGTCCTGGTTGTACATCGTGTTCCCGATTTCGTAGTCCTCGGCGTGTTGAGCCAGCAGCTTCGGTAGCACGATGTGTCTCTCGTACCTGAGGGGCTGGCCAGCCGTTGGTTAGGGGCAGCGCCATTCGCGAGTTCTGTAGGCTCAGAGGTAGAGATAGAGGAAACCGGTCGGAGTTACCTGTACACGTCGTCGTAGGTGTTCCCGTAGACGAACAGTCCGGTGGCGTTCGTGTGAGCGTGCAGGTCCAACACGCAGTCCAACGGGGTGCGAGAGTTCTTGTCCAGGCTCTTCAGCATCGGCTTGATGGCGACTAGGGCTGGGTGAAGCCAGTCGGAGATCTTGTTCCAGGCGCGATTCAGATCGGCGCCGAGGGCCGTGGATCTTGAACAGCGATCGGCACATCGCTATAGCTTCGCAACGAGTATTGTAGCGATATGTTGCAGTGTTGTCCGATATATTGTAGTATTGTGGCGATATATTGTAGTATTGTCCGATATATTGTAGCGAGTGACGTTGGATGGGACAAACGAATGGAAATGTATAATGTGAAAGATATATATTAGAGTGATTGTACAAAGTTTCGATATTATATAGAAGACTTCGTAGTTTGGTTGCATCGAGTGGAGTTAGTGACGCCTCTTCAGGTTTAAGATAGAACCTGAGTTCTATAAAGTCGGTATCAAAAGATATATATATTATTTTTTTTTAATATTTTAATTTTCTCAATTCTTGTTTTTTGGACTTAATTGGCTTCTGAGCGACTCAATTAATTTATAACCCTCGGAAGTTCACTGGGAGTACTCAATATTTTCCGATAAAATAAAATATACTGTATAATATAATATAGTATAATATTATATATTGGTCTAGGTTCTATTATATTATATTATATTGTATTATATTATATCGTATTATATTATATTATATTATATTATATTGTATTACATTATATTATATTATATTATATTGTATTATATTATATTGTATTACATTATATTATATTATATTGTATTATATTATATTATATTATATTATATTATATTATATAGTATATTTTATCTTATCAGAAAATGTTGAATACTCCCAGCGAACTATCAAGCGCTATAGATTGAGTCGCTCAGAAGTCAATTAAGTCCAGAAGACAAGAATCGAGAAAATTAATATTCCTAGAGGACGAAGAAACGAGTAAATCCTTGAATAACCGAAAAGAATATTATTCCATTCCAATTTACAAAAACCAACTTAACCACGTTGGCTTCTGAGCGACTCAATTTACGACCCCCATGGGTAGGAGTTATATCCTGGCGGTTATACGTCTCCCCGTGAAGAATTCTCATGGTACTGACCTGTAATTACCGAGATAAACGCCGTCTGGGTTCACCATGGGGATGATCTTGAAGACAACGTAGTTCCTGAGGACTTGAGCAATGGGGTGGCAGCTGACCAGAAAGTCCATTAGACCCTGGCAGACGAAGGATGAGGGTGATTCACCCGGGTGGACTCTCGCGAGTATCACCACGACTTTCCTGGAACGCTCCTGAACGTCCTCCGGGTTCGAGGCGATCGTGATCAGCTCGATCTTCCGTTTCTGTATGGAGGTGGCTAGGGTTTCCCGTGTTGTACACGTGATCCTGGTGCAGAGGTTGTCCAGGTGCGCCAGGTAGCGGTTGTAGGAGTAGGGATACGTCAACGCGAACTGATAAACGTCTTCTTCTCGGTCGAACGAGAAGGCGAAGCTGAGAACGTAGTGGTTCTGGTGTTGGGCTGACTTGTAGTAGAAGACCTGTGTAGGAAGAAGGTTGCTATAAAGAGTAGAATCTGCCAGATAATTTATCAACGTCTTTCTGTGATGAATAAGAGCATAGACAGTGAAGTATTCAGCATTGAAAGGCTTCAATGACAATGTCACAGGAGCTGGATCTCGTTCGTCTATTTAATATTACAGAGCTAGAAGATTTATGTAGAAGGAAGGTTGCTATGAAGAGTAGAATCTGCCAAATAATTTATCAACATCTTTCTCTGATGAATGAGAGCATAGACAGAATTCAGCTTTGAAAGGCTTCGATGACAGTGTCACAGGAGCTAGATCTCGTTCGTCTATTTAATATTACAGAGCTAGAAGATTTATGTAGAAGGAAGGTTGCTATGAAGAGTAGAATCTACCAAATAATTTATCAACGTCTTTCTGTGATGAATACAGCATAGACAGTATTCAGCTTCGAAAGGCTTCAATGACAATGTCACACGAGCTGGATCTCGTTCGTCTATTTAATATTACAGAGCTAGAAGATTTATGTAGAAGGAAGGTTGCTATGAAGAGTAGAATCTACCAAATAATTTATCAACATCTTTCTGTGATGAATCGCAGCGTAGACAGTATTCAGCATCGAAAGGCTTCAATGACAATGTCACACGAGCTGGATCTCGTTCGTCTATTTAACATCTCAGCGTTCTCGTTAGCTACCTAAGGATTGAAGTTCGAGTTTTCAGCTCTCGATTCGATTGCCTCTGAACCATCGATTACCGCGCTCTGACAGAGCCGCAGAAGGACACCAAGATCAGAATAGATTCCGATAACTCACTTGATCCCTGGGAATCCTCTGCCACTTGGACCTGGTGCTGCTCTTCACCAGTGGCGTCATTCCGTTCCGGAAGAGATTCGCGCTCTTCGAGATGTTGACGATGTTGAAGAGGACCCGTTGCTCCGCCTTCACGTTGTCCACGGTGAAATTGAACCACAGCCGCAGCCGGGGGTTACAGGTGTCCGGCCTGATGAACAGATCGTACTCAAACTCCGAGATAAGATCCACTCGGCCCAGGTTCCCCGTCTCGAACGAGGCGTCGAAGCAGATGTGACCTTTCTTCGCCTTCCCGCTGTGACCCGGCGGCCGCATTATCATCTTGTTCACGTTGCCCAGGCCGCCCTCCGTGTCGCTGTCCTCGCTGTCTGTAATCGTAGTCGAGTTTTCGCTTTCTTCCATAAACTGGCATCGAGAACCTTATTTCCCTATGAACTCTATCGCGATTCCTGATAAATTCCCTATACATGCAAACTCTATCAATCCATCATTACGCGGAGTCACGAAGAAAGCTTTCCATTAGACAAGCACGTTAGCTCTACATTCATCTACGCCATCCTACAAAACGCTGAACCAAATTCCCAAAGTTCAATTTCAATTCAACCTCGAAACCACTAGCACTCGAAGATATACAAAACAATCTCCTATGATACATCGAACCGAGAACATCCAAGAAATATTCCGAATATCCTAAACGTCCCGACATCCTCGATCGAGTTGCTCGATCGTTCGCGAAAGAAACGCTCGATCCCCGAAATGAAAAAGTCGTCGGACCGGCTCTTTGGTAGAGGCTGGTGTGTTCGAGAGGATCGCGGCCCTCGTTGTGGCCCATGGCGAGGAGGACACACGTCGGCTGATCCAGCGGGCAGAAGACGCGAGGATAGACTGACTCTAGGCGGCTGGTCTGCTCGGCCTATCGCCGGCGGGGTGTGGGCTCGGTCGCCTACGTGGATAACGGCGAAAACGAGCGCTCCGTGCCGTCGGATCGGGCACGTTACGGCTAATTCTCGTGTCGGATCTCGTGCGAGGAATCTCGGCTCCCGTGTTCGTGATTTCGCGCGGTTCTGGCCGCGCCACAGTCATGGAATCGCGGGCTGCCGGGAACGCTCGCGTGGCTGCCACGCGTCAGAGATCTCTGTTCGTGGCCCGTACCGACGGGCTAGCCGCGATCAACCGGCCTTCGGCGAGATCGTTATGCCGCCATCGTCGCGTCGATCGGATTTCAACGGAGTCTATTCTTAACCCTTTAACCGCGGGTCACGGGGAAACGAGATGCAAACGAATCGGCGCTCGTAGCAATGCGGCTGCGACCATTTTCTACGTGGAACGGGCGACTGCCAGTCGCCAGATTTGATGCGAAATTGTGAACTTTGTTTACCATTAACCCCTTGCCCTACAACAACGAGTGAGACTCGTGGTGAAGATTTTAAACATGATTCGACAAATATGTATATTACTCGGTTCATTCGAATTCAAAGTGAATATTATTCCCCTGTGATCAACTGTTGTACTTAGAAGGAAATGTAGGCATGATATGTGCTTAGGATTTTTCTCGTTTTCCAATAAATTATTAATGATAAAGTAGCCGTATTGAGAAAGTTGAGAAAGAAATCATGGGCCAAAGGGTTAATCCTTAGCAGTCCTATGTTTGTATGCAACCTCTACCCGTTTTAACCATTTTTTCTATGTTCGTTTGTAGTATTACAGTTGTACCATTTAAAGATAACATTTCAATGACTCCCAAATATTCTTGAATAAATAGAGCGTTATATTAAGCTGTAATTGAATGAACTGATGTCGACGTGAATGCATCGATACGTGAAATATTGAAAGATAATAGATACATTTTGTTCTCTAATTTATGTGTGATTTCTTGAGAAATTAATCTGAAGAAAATCTTGTCTATATCTAATTCGGGAGTATCGAATATTTCAAGTGAAACACTTTCGAGTGCAAAGGTCTACAGAGGTTATTACTTGCTAGTTGACAATATGGCTTTCATTGAGATCTGGGAATGTTTTTACTTGCGAAGTTCTGTAACTTTGAGGTCGAAGCCTAATATTTGTACTTCTTCTGTTTATAGGTAGAGTGACTAGGATTATACTTTGTCAACCATTTGTAATTGAAAAGATTAACAGGTTAGCGGTAGATAAAGTGTTAATACGCTCTTTGAAGAGTTACCTGTTTGAAGTAGAACCTTCGTAAAGCTTAAATGACTTTAAACAGTGAACTATGAGTTTGTAGTAGTGATTCTTTCGTTTGTGCTTGACCATAAGGAAGTTAAATTTATGTTTCAACAAAAAAATGAACCGTTTTTTAAGAAAATATACCGGTCCTAAGGATTAACCGGCAACGCGCAGTCAGGTTATCGGCGTGCCTCTCTAATCGCCGCGCGATCACGTGGGAACGATCGAATGCGCGCCGGCCTCGAAGCTGTTGCTTCTGGTCACGAAACGGTTTCGACGGAAAAGTTCCCCAGCGAAATGCTCGCGAACGGCCTCCGAAAGTTTCCGATACCGCCCGGTTGGAATAGTTGCTGGGTAGATACGCGTGGCGTTCCAGATTTCACCTGGAACTAGCGGGATTAATGTGGTCGACTGAGATTCAAAGATAGAGGGATACGAACGGACACAGAGATTCACGAGTATAGATCCAGAGACGAGTAACAGGAGGGTGTAAATAAACGAAATGAGTTGCTGGTATCAAGGAATACAAGCAGCAAATAACTGCACCGACAGAGTCACCTTTAACCCTTTGCACTCGGAAGTATTTCGCTGGAAACACTTAACACTAGGTTTACGGAACGCGTCAAATTGACGCATATTGGATTTTAGAAATATTATTTTGTAAATGTTTACGCCGATTTTGATTGATCACACTGACATGTACCCCAATTACCTACTATCGAATCTCCAGTTTCCACAATCTAAAACGAGCGTCAATTCTTTTAGGAATAATAAAGAGGATATTTTTTAGAATGAACGCCAAGAAAAATTGCAAGTGAATTGAGAGACAAAGCTTTTTTATCCGAATATTTCGTACAGTGATGTATTATACACAGTTCAATATTAACCCTTTGAAACTATAAAATCTAATGGACTTTCTGGTGAAACTATAAAATTTGATATTTAATATTATACCTTATACAGCGCATCGATTTGAGAAATATTGAAATAAAATAGCTTTGTTCCTCAATGTATGATTTCTCGCCGAGTCAGTTTCACAGAATATCGTCTTTATTTCATCAGAAAATGTAAAAATATTTCTAGAGAAAAACCTCCGAGTGCAAACGGTTAAATATTAAATTCTATAGTTTCACTGCATCGAATCAAGTGGTGACTGAGAGTCACCTCTCGAGTGCAGAGGGTTAATAATGATAATTGCCTAAAACTGTGAGTACGACGTCCAGATCACTTTAATTATTTCGTTACTGAGTGCTATTGGTATTAACCGAGAAATTCATTCTTCCGAACATTATCAGAGGAAAATTAAAGAAAGTCGTCTTATCCTTCAAATACTTCAGGAAAGTTGCTTCGGGTGTAAAGGCGACGATGAATGGAACGACGAGGCCAAAGATAATTAGAATCTCTAATTTCGAATGATTGGAACCTCTGTGAGCTGATGTTGATTAAATACCGACGCATCCCGAATTTTGTAAGCTTCTTCGATCTACCTCGGAAATAACCCGAGGACACTCTGTAGACTCTGAGCCTCGGATAGCGTCCAAACGCATTGACTCCGGCTTGAAATAGCAAAATATTCTCGTTGTTGTCGCGAAACAAGCAACCGAGAATATGTAGGGTAGTGTATTATTCAAGCGACACGTTGGCAACACACGTGGTTCCCAGGATGGTCGAGCACTCGCGAGACACGTCACGTTTCCATCGCGGACCTATGCAAGCGCGTCTCGTGGCGTACGGTTTTCCCCCTCGGTTTCCCCGTGCGTATGAAAAAACCATCGTCCGCTTCGAGCGTATCTAAATCCAGACGACCCGGCGCTTATTTCCATCATCGGTGTCCCCGTCATGACAATCGTAAATGATGTCTATAGCCGGCGACGCAGCGGTCGTGTCGGTTCGGCGGAAATGGGGGGTGGCTCGGGCCTGCTGCACCGGTCGCGCTGGTCCGCGGTCTATAGCAGTTTTACGTCAGGATCGCGCGCAATTCCATTATCAATGATTCACCGGCTGAAAGGGTGGAACACCCGCCGGCGGTGGCGGCAACCTTTGAACCTTGCGCGCGGATAGTCAATGTTAGTGACCGACAGTGACTCGTTTCCCGTTCAAAGGCGAACCGATTAGATATGTAATTCTGCCGGCTGCAGCGGCGACAGCGCGCGCTGGTCGAAATACTAGCTTGCCTCGGAAGTTTCTCTCGCTTTGTCAACGGTGGAACTATAGGGGAACTATAGAATCAATCGGTTTCACGAATTCGTCGAAATAAGCGACACGTTTCAGGAGTTACCGAGATTTCGAGCGAGTTACATTTTAGTTTGCCTGTTGGTAGATCGGTTCGGTTGAGAACTGCCTTAGTGCATCGGTTTGGCTCAGAATTTTTACAAATCTGCATTTTTCTCGTAATTATCATTTTGACCTATTTAGTTTGATTGATATATCTACGAACGTACCTGTCTACCATAGTTCCATCTCAAGATGGCCTCGAGTTAGAGGATGTTTCCTCGCGATTGCCGCTGACGAATCGAAACGAGATTGTTTTATTTGCGTACGAAGACCGGAAAAGGGAAGACTCGCGGGAAAGCGGAGGGAGAGGAAGGGTTGCGCTGCTCTAGAGCCGACGGTTGGCGAGAGCAATTAAAAGTGGGACGGAGAGGCCGGCCGGAAGAGAGTCCCTGAACAATCAACGTTGGGCGGAGGGGCGCGGAAGGGGGGACACAAGACGGGACACGCGACAATACACTAAGCTCGCGCTTAAACCGTTCGTTGCTCTGTTAGGAAGTAACTTCGGTCGTTAGACCCTCTCCTCCTCGGATGTTTCTTAACGAGGATCAGCGCCCCTCGCTTTGATCGAGCGTAATCCGAACTCGATGCGCAGCTTCTCTCGTTAATCTTATCCGATATTTTTAACGAGCCGCGGCCTCGCTCAGAGAAATCTTGTGGCATCTCCTGGAAGAAAGTAATTGGAGTTTCGAGGAGCGAGACGGGAACCGCGAATTCTCCCGCGGGGACTGCGTGGGAGCCAACCGCTTAGCGACTTATCTTACGCGCGATCGCGATCGTACGCAGGAAAGCTACCGAAAATCTTCCCCTCGACGATCCTTCTATTCTACTTACTATATTATCACACCAGTATAACCACAGAAACGGAATACACTCACTATTCCATCGAAAACCGTTCGCAACCAAGTATTTCCGAGCCGAAAAGCCGCAGATGGCACACGCAATCATCGATCAACTGCCACTTCCCACTGGTTACCGTCGAATTAAAACGACCACGCTTCGCATTGAGCATACCGAACCAATCTACAATCTTCCTGCATGCCGTAACTCAAGAAAATTCACTCGCATCGCGACGAGGACACCGGCAACAGAGCGAAACGCGATGAAACACGCACAGCGCCGGCGAGAAAAATCGCCCGTGTTTGCCCCATTATTCGCTACCGGTTGATACCCCGGCGGAAATTATGTGTCCAAGGGTGACGGGAAGTTGCAGCGAACCTACCGGAAGCAATAGAGCGACGGTAGAGGCGGATTGCCGCGGGGGGAGAGGGAAAATGGGGATTCGCGCGGCTGTATCGTGACGGGGGCAACGGAGTTCCCGAGGAATCGCCCCCGGCAAATGTCAGGGTGCGCGGCGAGAACGATCGAGGACTGA